AAAACTTTATTCCTGGGATGTGGGAAGGGAAAAAGATTATGACCTACAGAGAAAATGGGATGGAAGAAAAATCTGCATTACCCATCCTGCATTTCACCACCTAACTTATATATGCATTCACCTTATGAGTGATTGAATGCAGGAAGGTAATGCAGATTTGCCTCCCATCGCAAATGCTCTCCAGTTTCTGATATTTCACAATTTCAACAAAATAATAGCAATAAAATGTTTTATTGCTATTATATAACAGTTTCGTCTATTTTCATTCTGCTTGATGATAGCCCGAACAAGCATGACCGAAATATGCAAAAAAATATTTTTGTTTTCGAAATAATAAATATGTGTGGCTTAAATTGTATATTAATTTTATTAATTAACTATCACAAGATATATAAATAAACCAATTAAGTAAGTGACTATTTAGCTTATAGAGCTTGTAACAGACCAAATATAATGCCTTCTTTAAGTGAGTTAGACTTAGAATTACTTTTATCAAATAATAAAAAACAATTCGCTAAATGTTATAATCGTTACAACACAATGATATGTATTGAATAACATATGTGGATAACATCAAAAAGTATAGTTCCTGAACACAATATCAGGGAAGGCCAATAAATTATCAAATTATGTCTCCATCCACTTAGCGCAATAAGGTAACAAATAACAATATATTTGCATACACATGATATCGCCTAAAAGGAGAACTAGAAACGTAATTCTTATTCATCAAATAATTCTCTCACATTTGTCATGGTTTATTTAAACTCTCACAAGTATTGTATACTTAAATAAAATAAATTCTACACAGAGTCTTGGTCCGACTAAAAATAGTTCATTGTCCTCTTCAAGAGAAAAATGGAAAATATACACTGAGTGGTCACAAGTAAATAGACACCTAATTTTTCGTCATTTAACTGATTTATGCTAAGTAATTTGTGTTCACAGAGCACTATATAAATGAAAATGGTCCGCACACTAATTATCTTGTGCTACAACATGCCTAGAACTCAAGGTTCGCCCGAATTGTCAGATTTTGTTAGAGGAAGGATAGTTGGTCAAGCAGATGGTGGAATAAGTCAGCGGCAAATTTCGCAGAATTTGGGAATCCCGCTTTCGACAGTCAACAGAATTATCGTGCAGTTCAGGAAACACGGCAAGGAAACAAATGAGCAGCGTCCGGGTTGTCCTGGTCCATCGGAGAGGACAAAAAGGGCTGTCAAGAGGAGCATCGAAATGGATTTAACGACTGTAGATGTGGCCAAAGTTGGTGGGATGAGCTCGAACTCTGTTCAACGGATTCTCCACAGATTGGGTTATCGTTCCAGAGCAGCTAGAT